AACAACATTTTTTTGGTTAATAAAAGATCTCCCCCCTCTCTCTCTCTACACACACACACACACACACACACACACACATATATATATATATATATGTATGTATGTGTATTGTAATTACACAAGTTCAGATTTAATTAGTATAGTTATTGGTCCAATAACTTTTAATTCAATTTAAACCATAGTGAAAAATATTGATAACCCACAAATCTAAGATTATAACAAGTTTAGAAATCTAATTTTATATCAATATATATGATACGTTGTTATTAACTCCCCCGCTTAATTTTATGACTTCTTCGTCATACTTTCCCAACATTGTCGTTGTGCATCAAAGATGTGCGGTTCTCCAAGATGCTACAAACCCCCCAACATCGACTCATCATGCTCGGTGAATTTTATTCCACAATCTTGTTGGTAAAAGAATTGGCTCTGATACCATTTGTAATGGCCCAAACCTGAATTATCAAACTAATCCAATAACTTATAATTTAACTTAAAATCATAAAATCATGATAAAAGTTATTTGTGATCAACAACTTTAAACTTGTAAAGAACTCACAAATCTAACTTTAATTTATATAAATGTAAAACGAATGATTACACGTGCTTTTATCCAAAAAAAAAAAAAAAAAATGGTCCAAAATATCTACATTTCATAGAAGTGAGTGTTTTTCAAATCAATGTATTCCAACATGTAGCAATAATGTGTTTTTTTTTTCTTTTTAATATTCTTGCTTCTTCCACTCTCCTACCCTTTATTTTTAACTCAGATTCGAACTCATAATCACGTGTACTATAAGTTTCTAAACTTAATACGTACGCTTGTGTTAGTTTATTGATTGCTATAACTTCATTTTATCCCTTTTAATTCTTCATACAAATCCCCCTAAGATTAATTAACCTTAATTATGTTTTTAGATAGCATTAATTGCTTTTAAAAGTTCAAACCGGAACACCAAAAAAATACGGAAAAATGGATGAAAAATTCGATATTAAATAAAAATAATGTAATTTGTTTCATTTCATTTTTCGTTATATTTCGTCGATTCTCGATTTAAAAATCAAGGGAAAATATTTTCTTAATCATATTTATTAGATCATCTCGATCAGTAGAGTTTTTCGATTTATATATATATATATATATATATATATATATATATATATCACATCTTTAAAAGATGCATCACATGTAAGAAAGTGATTTACATCCATTGATGGAAGCATATGGATATGTAGGGGTGATGCACACTCTATCACTGATTTAGTAGGGTTTCAAATTATGCTTTAAATTATCCATTTCAAAATGCACAATAAATTTCTTTGAACATAACTCAAAATATTGGTGATTAGATTTTTTACATGAATAATTGCTAATAATTTAATTAAACCCCTTCTGATTAATTCTTTTTACCTATCATTGTATTTTGGAATATAGCTAGGGGTTGCATTAATTTAAATGTAATTATTCTTTATCTATATTATTCTTGCTTTTATTTGAAAAGGAACTAGATTCGAGTTCACAATGACGTATTTTATACGTTTATGAAATATTTAACACGCGTATTATGAATCATTATAAGTTGATTTTATCTTAATTTCTTGATTTAAGTACGTTAAGAATATATCATATTCTTAAGCATGTACTAGTTTTAAACAAGAACTCTAATATTTAATTATCATAAAGGCAACACATATAAAGTAATTTTTGTAGCTTTGGGGTTAAGTATTCGAACAAAAACAGATATGGTTCATATAGTTATACTTATCTGATGTTGATGGAATTGGAGTTGTCAGTTTGAGAGTTCATTTAAGTGATGTAGATGTTGTGACAACCCACCATGGTTTTAATTAAGATATGTAAGCTCATTATAAATTTAAAGTTGTAGGCTATCAATAACTGTATATGGCTATGGTTTAAAGTTAATTTAGAAGTTATTGAACCAGTTCATTTCAAGCATGAGGTGTTATAAATAATATCATAACCGATTCTTGTACTATAAGGATGGTGGGGCGTGCCTCATTGAGTGTAATGAGTCCTTGAGAGGGGTGTTTGTAACATATTAGACGAATCTAACATTGTTGATGAACAAAGAGGAACCTTGATAGCCTTGACGATGATATGAGGAATTGAAGTGTGGAGTTTGTGAGAACACTTCCAACATTAATGGAAAATGGAATTTGTGAACTCATTTAACAGATTCTAGGGTTGATGTGAGAATTTATCACAGATAAAATATGAGAAGCTCTTTATAAGTCTCAAGTTGTGGGTTACTAATAACTTTCACACTGATTTGTTTGCTTTAGACAATTAGACTTGAGGATTTATAAACTTGATGCAAAACGATATTGATATCATGACATGTACAACATTTTGCGCTCGATGTCTATTCCCTAAACCTAGTTTCTCACGCACTTCACACAACATAGAGGTATCTTGCTAACATATGTGGCCGTTACATCTTTGTGGTGCCCTATCTTTCACTACCGGCATCATGCTACACATTACTCAAAGCATTTTCATGCATAACATTTATTTAAATTATATCAAAACATATACAACATATACACTCGAAAGATTTAAGACTATAAGTAACCTCATAGCATGCGTACAAATTCTTTCAAAATACCTGAAAACCTAAATACTATGCATGCATCTTAGTCTTAAAGCCACAAGAAACGCACCTCACCTTACACGTGTTTCTGATTCACTTTTGATCCTTCATACAAAAATATTACATTTTTTAGGCATGCATCCACCTTTGGAAGTGACATGCACTACAAAATAAATTATTTTTACCCACAAAAATCACCCAGTAAATTTTTTGTAGGTTATTACCGATGGATTACTCAAAAAATACCAATGGTTCAGTAGAATTCAATATTTTTCGAGAAAATACCAATAGATTACCCAAAAAATCCCTGATTTGAATTACCCACCAACTTTTGTGACAGTTTTGTGATGAATCACTCTTTAACGACAAATTTCCCAGTGAAAAGTTCATATACATAAGTCTTTCATTTAGTAGTGATGATCGTGCAAAACACTAAACAGTATTCCACACAATCGTGTAGAATGAATGGCATAATCTTGTCACGGAGGCAATACACCTTCTGCCAATCAACATGATCATGTCACGCAACGAAAGGAGTTCTTCACGATCCTGCAGAAGTCACAACATCCCCCTTTGGAAGTTATTTTCAAAATATGATGGATTAGTTGGTTGGAAAAATGGATCAACATATTAGATAAATCCAATTCCAAGGATATCCGATAGTAAACAATCCAATCAAATCATCAATTGGATTGAATCGGTTGTCCAACATTAAATGAACTGAGAATTTTGATTGGTTTGCAAAGTTAATCCACTATCCAATAGATGACAGGAATCAGACCGGTTCCGTCTAATCCAATAGAGTTCAACCGATAAACAAACCTGTATATTTTTATATTATTTGTAAGAAATAAAAGCATGACAAAAAAAGTAAGAAAATGGAAAAGAATATTGTGTGGAAGTGAATGGATTTTTAATGTGCATGGCGGATGGTATTCAAGGATTTGAGCCAGCAAAATGTGTGGGGACAAATTTATGAGTTGTGCATAATCATGGATATAGCTTATGCTATGTCCTAAGAATGGGAAAAAGTCGAAATGGTACAATTCCCCAATCTCTTTCTTCAATTCACATGTATGCTCATATACATACATACATGCATACATATATATATATATATATATATATATACATATATATGTATATGTATATGTATGTATGTATATGTATGTATGTATTTAACAAAATGGTATATCAATTTCGTTCATACGTAACAAAATTATCATTTTTAACAATCTATAATTAAAAAGAAAATATGAATATAGAATGGTACTTATCTCTACTTTATCTCTAACTTTATAGATTTATTTGGATGACACGAATGAATGAGAGCTTTACAACAATCGTGACTTTTTTTTATGATGTTGCACGCGTGTTGGAGCCGTTGAAGTGGTACCTATTTGTGAAATCACGTACGTAGAATGAGTATTGGTGAACTAGGGTTGTCGATCCTTTTACCTGTGAGGATTACTACCATCAAGTAATTAACTAAGGCAATTATCGAAATATGTAGTTTGTAATCGTTCTTAAGAGTGATTTTGATCGGACCATATGATCTTAATTTATAGCTCCGCCCATATAAAAAAAGATGGATATATATGTCCTCTTAACTCAAGAACAAAATACCAAGTGTTCCTTCGTAACATACTTAAAGAACTTCACTGAATGCATAGTTATTGAATTTGATGGGCTAGTGCCGGTGCAAAACCAATCTTGGTTCCAATACTATACAAATCGGTTTAGTTACATAAGAGATTAAAATGGCGTAGTACGTGCACAATTTAGCCAGTTCTTTCAATCAACATATATGTATATGTGTGTGTGCGCACGCAGACTCTCAAGTTCACGAAAGCCAATATTGTTCTAGAATCAATGTGTGTGCTTAAAAAATCAGATCATAATGGTGGCATTTGTAACGTTGGATGTTAGGCAACATAACATTTACATAGATACATACATATTATGTACACACATAAATACATACATACATACATACATACATACATGTATATGTATGTAATATCACAATGATGGCATTCATAATGTTGGATGTTAGGCATCATAACATATAAATAGATGCATACATATGTATATATACATACATACATACATGTGTATGTACATGTATGCATTTAATATATAAGCACCCAAATACTAGCAGCACACGTATCCAGTGTCTCCTACTTTAGGGTTTAATTTCCGGTACAAAAAAAGGGTGATTTGTGATGCAAAAATATGCTGCTAAAACCATGTTTACTGTGTTACAAACACATATATATACAGAAGAACATATATATATAATTAAGATTAAGATGTACAAAATCATATACCCTAAAATATATCTCCATAGCAAAATATGGGAATATCAGGCAAGTACAACGAATAAACGAAAGAACCAACATGAAGAAAGCCAACCCCTCCATAATTAGCTAGCTTAGCTAAAACCAAAAAACCTAGTCATTGTACACTGATCGATGATCAAAGTTTGCTACGCAATGATGAAGTGGGTGTTTCTCTTTACCTGAAAATAGGCAATTTACCCGAGAAAAACCGATCCTTGTACATTGTTAGTACATAAGTTTACTAGAAAGATTGTGTCGAAAGCATGAAACTAGTTAACTATAGTACTTAAAATTGTCAAACCCCCCTTAATTAATTCTGTTCTTCTTTGGGCTCATCTTTTCGGATCTCGAATGGGACGACATCCTGAAGTAGTCCATGATCCCTGAGCAATGAAGCAGAAGGTGAAGGGCAAAAACGTCTTTCTTGAAGGAAATGGGAGTAAGATGATGGATGAGCACTAGTATTAGTGGTGCTAAAGCTTAGAGAAGATGAAGGTGTTGTTTGGTTATGGAAATAGGGTTGAAGTTGTGGGTGTAGTTGTTGTTGGTAGTGAGGTTGTGTAAAAAGAAAAGAAGAAACACCACCGTTACCACCATTACCACCGCTAAGACCGCCATAACCAGCATTTTCCGGCAAGATCCCAATGGTTCCTCGAGGCATCATGGGATACGGGTGAGTGTGGGTACCTTCATAAGTTGTAATAACAATGGATGGATCATCGGATGATCTTTCCACTCTCTTCTTCACTCCACATGCGACACTTGTGCACCGATGGTAACTCCTGTTTTGAACAACGTTAAAATTGGCCTAATTTAAAGATGATTAAAAAGAAACCCATATCAACTTCCTTTTTATTGTATGAATACATCACAACACACCAAAGACAAATGTTATTCAATGATAAACACTTCCTCTCATCCGTTAATGGAGGAAAGATATCATTCAATGTAAACTATACACTAGCTAGGGCAACAAAACGAAAAGGGTGTAGAGAGAGAGAGAATCTAGGGAGAGAGAAAGAGATGGTATACCTAGGAAAAGGGCTGTTCTTCACAGCTTTCTGGCCGTACTTTCTCCATCTATAACCATCATCCAAGTGATCAATGTCACTCTTTGTCATGAACGCAAATCTTGGTTCCCTTTGCTTTTTTGGGTTTTTCTTTTTGGGTTTCAACCTGAAGAACACAATAAAACACCCACATTTTAATTCAAGAATCAATCATATATTTAATCACGAAAAAGAACACTTCCCTTCGTAAAAAAACAAAAGAATACGGATCAAAAAAGAATAAAGATTTATCAAATCCAGAAAATTTGATGCATCACATAATTACACCTGTTCATCATATTAAATCCACTTTCGATCGGGTGTATATATGTATGTGTGTGAAAGGGCCTACCTTTTCTTGATAAAAATAAATAAAGATCTTGAAAAAAAACACGGTGTATGTGTGAAACTAACAAAGGGTTTACTTTTTCGGTCAAAAACTAGCAGAAGATTACACAGAAACATGGGTGTGAAGAAAAAGGATTTCTTGATATTCATTTGGGGACGAAGAACGCGTAAAAACTCATGTCTGTGTGTGTGTGTGTATGTGTGTGTGAAGAACACACAATCAGTAACTGTAAATTAGGATATGGGTTTCCTTCGATGTTTTGGAAGATGAAAGATTAATTAAGTATTAAAACACATAGGAGAGACACACCCATAAGCGTGTGCTAATTGCGTAGAAAAGGGTTTTCTTGATTCAGCAATGAAGAACTGTTGAAGAACATATAAAAACTAGCTCATGTGTACGATTAACAGATACATCTGTGGGTTTCCTTGAAATTTTCAGAAAACGAAAGATAAAATTATAAAAAAAAAACAAAGGTTCTTACTGTTTGTTAGTAATCTTCTCTTGATCATCATCATCATCATGTTGTTCTTCATCCTCCTCTTGAGCTGATCTTTTATTGTTCTCCTGATCAACATTATTCGCAGCCTCGTTTGAAGAAGATGAGATGGAGGATGAATTCTGTGTCGGTGTGTTCACCATCTCAGCCGTCTCCGGCACGGTGGAAACCGGTGGTGGGATTGACGGTTCACCTAGTACTGTTGCAGGCGGCGGATGATTCTGCTGCTGCTGCTGCTGCTGCTGTTCCTCCACTACCAAATTCGGCGGAGGAGTTGGTTGTTGAAGCAAATCAAAAAGAGACGCGCCACCGTAGTCCTGGAAAGCCAACATGTCCAAATACCCTTGAGGTATATCAAAATAGCCACCACCACCACCACCAGTAGCATAAACAGCCGGAATCTGATCGGAAAATGTTGAGTTTGCCATGGAGTTTGAATTCTCTGCGTTGTTCTTTACCTCCTCTTTCTTGTCCATAGACTCATCAAAGGCATAGATTCTTCATTTGTAGGCTCTCCAAGTAGAGATAGAGAGAGAGATGGTCAGTGTGGTTGGTTTTGAGTTTAGTGTGAAGACACCTTTTTGGATACTTCTTGAGAGAGAGAGAGAGAGAGAGAGAGAGAGAGAGAGAGAGAGAGAGATTGTTAGGGAATTTAAAGTAGGGTCAATTACACCTTCCTTCCTCAACTATTTATAAATTGCAATTCACCCCCCTACTCTTCAATTCAATCACTCAACATATTAAATTATAAATTTGATTCATCCCATCAAAACAAAACTATTATTCATTTTAATTTATCTTTTTTTTAATATATGATATAACTAACACTTTTAGATTATAAAAAGTACCACAATTTCTTATTTTCTTTTAAGAATTTTAGTTTATATATATATATATATATATATAGTTGGGTTCACGTGAGACTAAGGGTTTTTCGTGAGACCCGTAAGACCAATTTATGTTCATTGATCAACTTTATAAGCTAATGATCTAACAGTCTAAAGTTGCATGGTGACAATTTTGTAGTTATTGAGAAGCCTCGTGGCAATTTTGTGATTATGAATGTTGAGATTGTAGATCTAATCTAAGGGTTGAGAATTGGTTTTACGGGTCTCAAGAAAAACCCCTCGGTTTCATATGATCCCAAATATATATATATATATATATATATATATATATATCTTTTTATCAATTAAACAACGTCATAATAAATTACTGATATAAAAAGTGATTTATATATATATTTTTAATTTTTATTGAATTAAAAGGTAATTTAATTATCTACCTTTAATTTTAAATTAAAGAGTATTTTTTGTTTGATTTGAAAGCAAAGTGGTTTATTTTCACATACTAATTACTTTTTTTACATACGGTGAAAATGATCTTGAAATAAAAACAAAAAAAATAGTAAAAAAAAAGGTAGAAAATTTGAAGTGTGAAGGGGGGATTAGAGTTTGACGGGCGCTTGCCGGTGGAGGAGTATGCAAGCCATTAAATGGAAGATGATTAGTCCACGTTTTCATACTCGGGTTGTTGACCGGGAACCGGTTTTGTGTAAACCAACTTCCGGTTACACGTGGGTAATCAAAAGTTTTGGCTCGTGTGCATGCAACACCAGCTAAAATGCCACGATACGTCTCTTTCTCCACGTTAATATTTTAAATTTTTAGGGGTGTTTGAGATTGTTTATAAAAATAATTTATTAATTTATTTTGGTATGACATTGATAACAAGCATTTTTGAGCATTTGAATAAACAACTTATACTGATGTCAAACCGGTAATAAAGAGTTTTTGAAGAAGTTAAACTCCTCTAACTTATAATAAGTTGATAAGTGCTTTTGTAGAAAAAAAAACATAAGTTGTTTCAAATAAGCAATCCCAAACACCCTCTTATTCCAAAAAAATAACTCTTTTTTTTTAATTCCATCAATACTATTAACTTTTCATCTTAAAAAATGAATCTCGTACAATCATTTAACGTAAAATTTGGTATAGTATCAAGTTTTTTCTAATATCACGTATCAATTGGTTATAATTGATATATCAAATCATATATTATGTATCAATTAACAGTATTTGATATTAACTTACTTAACACTAATCTTCTACCAACTTCAACTTAACATATATAAAAAAAACTTGTAATATTTTTCAAATTTTGAGTTTGCAAGTAATATGTGTCATGTTTAAGGCTTTTAATTGCAAAAAGCAAAACTTATATATAAACATCCGAATGTTGAAACAAAAAGGTAAAGTGACGATGTTGAATATTGAATACATCAAAAATACAAAAAGAAATAAACAAATTAAATAAGTCAGTATTATGATATTATCATGGTACGAGACTTTTCTATATCGTGAACCAACCAAGTTTTCATACTTGGTATGCCATTACCAACCGTCTACAATTGATACGATTAAGTTGATATCAGTTTAAATTATGCAGTTGGTACATTTGTTGAGTGGTCTAATTTGATACAAAATTATCATCCCTGATAAAAAGTAGATATTATGGAATTAAAATTAATAGACTTGTAATTAATATATTTACAATGAACAAAAAAGATGAGTTATTTTATTTTATCATATTATATATAAATTATTAAAAAACCAGAATAAAATAAAATAATCACATGGAGTGTAACCTAAACCATTAAATTTGGCTTAGCATGATGCCCATAGGAGTCTATAAATTTGGCTGGTCCAATCTAACTGTGCTTAACAACTCCAGGGGCTTATTCGGGATTTCAAATATTTGTGTTTATAATTTTACTTAACGTTTTCTAATCCAAAATCATTGGTTAATTAAATACACTTAATTTAGAGGTTACAACAAATGTCTAAGTACATATGCTTATGAACATATACTTCTTTCATACTTAAATTTGATCGAATCAACTTCAATCTGGCTCCGAGAGCTCAGGGAACATATATTGGCCCATATTTGTGAGATCCCATATCGGTTGAAAAAGGAACGAAGTTTATCTTAAGAGTCTGGATACCCCTTTTATCAGACGTGTTTTAATATCATGAGTCTATGTGTAAATAAAACGGATAATATCTAATATGGTTGTACTGAGATATTACTTACATCATGGTATAGATATATTAATGAAATCAATAACATTTCATTTGTTCATGTTAGTTTTATTATCACTTCTTGAGGTTTCATTTTTTCCATACTTGCACTTTCTTACCCATACCATTATAGGGCTGGGTTCACGTTAGATCAGTCTGTTTTCATAAGACCCGTGAGACCACTTTTTTACACTTGAAAGTTTACAGCAAAACTCTGTGAAAGTAAAAAAAAGTCGAACATTCACAACGTTTTACTATAAAATTTTAAATGTAAAAAAGTGGTCTCACGAATACAGACTGATCTCATGTGATCTCAAGTCTTAACGCCATATATGTATTTTTCTTTTAAAGATCCTAGAAGTGAAATATTTTTATTTGATATATAATTATTATATTTTATTAAGTTATAGGATGAGTCAATCAAAACCCATGATTTAAGAGGGTGTTTGTGGTTTGTTTTATTTATTTAATATTTTTGGGTAAAAGATGGCAATTATATACATCTAAATTCATGGATTCATTTAATCTTTCCCTTTACTTTTTAACAAACAAAGATACCAAAAGGGATGGATTTATACGAGATTTTCTATTATAAATTATATAAAGATATTAGAAAACGTAATTATTTTAAACTAATTAATCTAAACATACATAGCATCAAAATGAAACGCTTTTCATTTTGATTTTTATTATGAAAAAGCTTACAAAAAGTCCTATTTCTTGACTAAATATTCATTTACTTAAACGTTTATTTGTTAAGTGTTTACTGATAATTAAGAGTCAACACTTTCACTTATCTTACCAAACAAGATTCTAATTCATTAAAATGATATTAAATGCAATAATTTATCCAATAAACATTAATTGAGTAAGAGTTGTCACATTCACTTATCGGGTTAGACTTTTGACCCTTGTCATTGCTCTTACTTTATAAGATTTTCGGTCATTACAATGTTCATCCAGGCAAAATAAAGTGATCTGGTAAATATTTATCGAATAAACATTTAATTTGGCTTTGGGTTAAAATGTGATTCATGAATGAATAAATATATAAAAAGAAAGAAAATATAAGTAAAAAGAGAAAATCTTCCATGAAAAGATAGCGATAATAGCTACAGAAGGAAGCGTGTGAAACAAGAAAGAGATGGCACGTGTGGTCCTACCGACTGACATGTGGGCTGAAATGCTACCATCATTTCCACGTCATCCTTCTTTCTACCACAATGTCCTGTTAACGTTGTACATCATCAATATTTTACCTCTTCCATTTTCCTTGTTAAATGTAAAACAATTTACTGGACTAATATAATCGACATCATTCATGTGATCTGCTACAAGTTTTGTATCCTTTTTTTTGTTTTTAATTTATTTTATTACAAAAAAAAACTTGTGAGACATATGTTTCTGTTATATATAGTTATTTGTCTATGATATGATAGTATTTTGGTTAGTAGATGAGTTCTTGATCAATCTTGATTACTTTCGGTTGGTGTTGATCAGTCCCAATGGGTTGTGGATCGTTTTTTATTAGTTTCAGTAGATTCCCGATCCATTTCGATAAAAGCTGAAAGTGGTAGTCTACGGTTTTATACACACAAACAAGTAATAAATCAATCGATAAATTATCGATGAAAAATGAAGGTGGTAGGTTATGGTTTAACACACATAAAAACATACCAAGTCAAAGAATGGATTCTCGATGTTTCTCGATCGGTCTTGATAGGTTTTCGCTTGGTCGAGATGGGTTCTTGACCGGTCTCGATGGGTGTTGGGTTACGGTGATGAAAAATGCAATGACTTGCGACATTGAAAAAGGTGTTGAAAAAAAAATGATGGTGAGTTACGGACTTACAGTGTTGAGCTGTTGTATACACTCGAACGTACATAAATATTCATAAATGAATATAACAAATATATACCATTTCACGTAAAAAAGTTTAAAATAGAAAAAAAATTATATCGAGATAGATGTCATGTCGAAGAACATAAAATTCTCGTTTTTTTAATATAATTTGTTTGATTAAATATTAGTAATTTTTAAGCCAAGTTGTTTTAAACTTTAAGGGGGGATAAAATTTTTTAATTAAAAAGAAAATAAAAAGTTAAATAAAGTAGACGTGAATTGAAATTAAATGCCTTTTTTTTTACCCCTAATCACCTTAATTAATAATTTTAATTAAAAACTATATTTAAGGTTGTTAAATCAAATAAAATGGAGGACCAAGATCAATCATCATGCTTACAACACAAATTGAGTTTGTAATTAAATTTTTTTTTTCTCTCTCTCTCTTATATATATATATATATATATATATATATATATATAATCATGTGAGATCATGTTATTTTTGTGAACATAAATAATATTAAATCTTCACATCCAAACATTTGTAAAGGTAAACCTTCACAGTGTTTTTGCTGTGAAGGTTCATAGTTTTTTTACCTTCACAATATTATGTTGTAAAGCTTCAAGTGTTATTTTGTGGTCTCACGAGTCTCATAAAA